GGCTTGAGGAAAGGAGGGGGGACACCGGGAGGAGAGGGCAGCTCCAGACAGTAATGGATAGCTGGGGCATTAAATAGTGCAGAACTTTTTATTAGACACACAGGAGAAGTTTAAATATTCAAACTGGTTTTCTTTGGAGCCTGGGGAAAGGAGAGGAGGGTGGCAGGGTGGCTAAGGCAGAGTTTACCCAGGGCCAGAGGCTCGACCCTGTCACCAGAGAGGAAGGGCATCTGGAGGACAGAGGCAGGATCTGGGTCAGCTGGTACTCCTGGACGCCAGAGTCCTGCTGCAGCCTTGACACTCACTCCTGCTGCGCTGGGCTGGGCCAGACGGGATGGCAACAGGAAGGTAGTTTAAGGCCTGACTCCTGAGGGTGCAGCACAGCCAGCCCAAAGAAGCCCAGGGTGTGGGTGGCGTCCAGGAGGCCCGGCGGTACTGGCGAAGCTGGACCTATGATGAAATGGTATTGCCAGGATAATAAAGCAATAGTCCTTTGCTCTCTCCTCAAACAGGGAAAGGGGTGGAGAGACCTGAAGGTTCTCAGAGGATGTGTTCTCCCTTCCCTGCTGGAGATGGGAGCAGGGTCTAGTCCATTTGTATTTGTTTGTTTTGGTGGTTTGTGTGTTTCTCCAGGGTTGGTGGGGGTGCTGAGATGGGGTTTCACTATATAGCCTAAGCTGGCCAATGAGTCCATTTTTATTTATTTTTTTCCTGGTACCGGAGATAGGACATTTTAGGCAGAAACTCCATCGCTGAGCTGTATCCCTTGCTCACCATCTGCCCGGCCCCTCTTATTTTTTTGACAGGGTCTCACCATGTGCGCCCTGGCTAGCCTGGAACTCACAGAGATCTGCCTGCCTCTGCCTCTGAACTGCTAGGGCTAATGGCACTGCCACCATGTCTGAGCCTCTCCCACACCCCTAGCTCTTGGAGACAAGGTCTCCTTATGTAGTCTGGGTTGTCCTTGAACTCACAATCCTTCTGGCTCAGTTAAAGTGGACTGATTATAAATCCAAAGTATGAGGGCATACACCTGTAATCCCAGAACGTGGGAAGCTGAGGCAGGGGAGGCTACACGAGGCAACTGGGGCAAAAGGGGCCACTGTGAACAGAAAAGGCAAGTTTGAGAGGAGAACCAACGGACTGGGAGGAGACAGGGAATTGCAGAGATGGAGTATGGATGGGGGTAATGGTTTCAGGGTGGGACCAGGATCAGACGCAAGTAACCAGCTTTAGCCTAGGGAAATAGTTCCTCAACCTGTGGGTCATGACCCCTTCACAGAGGTCACATGTCAGCTGCCCTGCATATCCAATATTTACATAACAGTTCATAACAGCATCAAAATTACAGTTATGAAGTAGCAATGAAAACAGTTTTACGGTTGGAGGTCAAGCTCAACATGACCTATATAAAAGGTCACACAGCTTTAGGATGGTTGAGAACCACCGCTCTAGGGTATTTCCAGCCTATGCCGCTCACATACGCTGAGGGCGGGTATTCAGGTCTTAGTGTGTCAGGTCTGAGTGCTGTACACACTCGCCACACCCTAAGGTCACCAGCAGCACCTTTTTCTTGTTTTCTAGAAGGAAATAGGTACAGATGGGTTCAGAAACTGGCCTCAGGTCAGGTCACACAAGCAGCAAGAACAGGACTTAAGACAGGCAACCAAGAGCCCAGAGCCACACCGCATTGTTGATGTTGTTATAGCTTTGTCTTTTGAGACAGGACCTTGAGTAGCCCAGACTATTGCAGACTTTCTCTGGAGTCAAAGATGTCAACGGTTACCTTGAACTTCCGATCCTTCTGCCCTCCACCTCCCCAGTGCCACCCAAGTATTATGGGCATGTGCCACCATACCCAATTCCTGCTATCTTTGGTTCTTAGATAGAACCCAGGGTCCCCTGCACAAAGGTAACCGCTGTATCATGGAGCTACCTCCCCATTATTAGATTAAATGTGCCTGTACTAGGGTAGGGAGAGAATACACAAATGATGGTCAATGGATGAGACAGGCATTGCCAACAAGACAGGGAGGAGTATATGAAAAGGCTGAGAGAGCCACAGCACGTTGGCTTTCGGTAAGCAGCATTAGGGATGTTGGCTAAGTGTGAGTGGGCGGGGCCGCGGGGCCACGGTCCCAGGTCCCCCGCCCCCCAGGCTGGGCGTGCATTTCTTTTGTCCTGGACTCCAGGACACTGCTGAGGAGCCGGTTGATTACATTCTTTGGAGGAATGAGCTTGTGTTTGGTCTGAATAACTCGGATCATTCCTGCCCTGCGTTGGCAAAGGGCATAAGTGGGTTCTCCCTGTGCAGGATCTACATGTCCCTGACAAGCCCTCCGTGGGCACATCGGGGAGAAGCTGGTGCATTGGGCTGACAGACTGACGGACAATCCTTAGCATTCCACTTAGCCCGTGCTCACTCTTAGCCAGCAGGTAGAGGTGCAAAGGAACCTGGAAAGGGGAGTCCCTGTTTCCTTACACAGATCAGGGGGCCTGGGTTAAACAGAGAGGCAGTGGGAGAGGAGTCAACATCCAGCTATGCTATGCCCTTGGCAATAGCATCCCATCAAACTAAGGCTGCTGAGGACTTAACTTGGCCCATGGCCTCTCTTTCCCCAGATGTCTTTTACAACTTCGACGGCCGACTGCTGGGGACGTGGTCTTTAAGTTTGCAAGGAGCCCTTGCTTCTCCCTTCCAAGAAGGCAGGTCAGGCCAGGAAGCTCTGCAGTGCTACCCACGCAAAGCTGGGAGCTCATGGTGTCAAGCAGACACTGTCCCAAGAGCAATGTGCAGCTCAATTCATTAACCCCAGGAAAACCTTGTGGAGGAAAATGAGCATGGACCTAAATGTCTCTGAATGAAGTTAAAGGGGTTCAGAAGCTGACCCCAAAATCAATCCAGAGGGGCTGGAGAGTTGGCTTTAGCGGTTAAGAGCACTGGCTTAGAGCCCAGTGCGGTGGCATAGGCCAGTAATCCCAGCACTTGGGAGGTATAGGCAGGTGGATATCTGAGTTCAAGGCCAGCCTGGTCTACAGAGCAAGTCCAGGACAGCCAGTGCTATACAGAGAAACCCTGTCTCAAAAAAGCAAAACAAAACAAAACAAAAAACAAAAAGAAGTAGTACTGGCAGCTCTTCTAGAGGACCAGGGTTCAGTTCCCAGCATCCATAAGGCAGCTCACCACTGTCTGTAACTCAAGTTCCAGCAGATTCAACGTCCTCACATAGACATTTTGCCTACATTTTGCATGTAGGCAAAATACCAATGCACATAAAACAAAAATAAATTATTAAAAAGAATTCAATCAGAGCTGCTTTCAGAGCCTCTCAGGTGGGCACTGGTGTCTCTAGCCTGGCCTAGGGGCCAGGGCTGGGGGCTGGGAGGCCGAAGGTGGTGGGCCAAAGGCAAAGGCAGCTGAGGATTCTGAAGAACCACCCAGTACTATCAGTCAAGGGCCTAGAGGAAACCGTCTACCCCAGCTTAGGGGTCAGGGAGGAAGAGCCTTCACCTTACCAGGCAGTGAAACGGGCCTAATCCCCAAGTGAGAAGAGTGCCCAAACCCCTCTGCTTGCCACGCTGTGTTCTCCTCTGATGGAAGGCCCTTTGACCTAAACAGCTTTCCTGCCTGGGAAATTGGTACCTCAGAAAATACCATTTCCCTGCTGGCCGGAGGTCAGGAGCTCATGTCTGGCAGGAACAGGAGCCTCTAAGGCCAGATCCAGCCGGACGAGGTCCCTGGATCCTCTGGGCCTCTCTTCACAGCCTGGGCCTTGTAAGCAATGGAGCCTGTAACAGCTGGTGAGGAGGCAGGGACATTAGACTGGGCAAGGGGGAGCATGCCTCAGCGAGCTGACGCGCGAGGCTAGTCAGGCAGTCCTTGGAGCAGATGACCAGCTGGGGTGGGAGGTGGCAGGTATGTGCTCAGACTTCCTGAAGGGAACGGGGAGAGGAGCAGACAGCTCCCCAGGCCTCGGGCCTCCAGGACAGCTGCAGCCAGGACACGTCCCCGTCACACTTCCCTAGGTCCTTCTATTCTCAGGGCACTTTCCTGACACCAGTGTCTTCCCTCTCTCAGATCTGAGGTTTCTTACTTCAGCTTGATTCCTCCAAAAGGAGGTGACCAGGCGAAGATTGGGGGGAAGCGGTAGGCTGACATTAATCGATAGAAGCGTCTCTGAGCAGTTCATGTGGCCTTATCTCTCTCTCCTTTGGAGAGCGTGTGTCCGCCGGAGTCCGCGGGGTCGGTGATTAATAGGGGCCATCACTCACTGTCCTGGACGGCTGAAAGGCAGCAGGGAGGGGGCGGCCCTCCCCAGAACTGAGATAACAAGCAGCAGGAATAATGAGTGGTGTCACTCCACTTTTCATTTTGATGGAAAGTCATTACGGGAGTCAACGCCAGCGACAAAGAGCCATGAATCAACTGCTCTGCTATGAAATTAAAATCGAATTGCTGGCCACCCCCAGCCCCTATCCTTCCTGGGAAACGGGGATGGGTAGGTGGCTCGGGAGAGGGGTGCTGTCCTGGGGTGGGCTCTACCCAATCCCAGAGCAGGCGGTTATGGGTAGGAAGTGGACAGGCAGCTAGCAAGGGTGACAACTCCTGTCTCCAGCTTGTTTATCAGGCCCTGCCTCCCCAAACCACATTTCCCCCCTGCTTAGAAGGCGAGCTGCGAGTTAAGAGGAAAAAAGAACTTTGCTGGGTCCCACAGGGCTGGCTGACTGCACCCCTGCGCTGCAGGCCGGGGTGGGGCAGCACGAGCCTGCTTACAAGACGGGGCAAAACTGCACTGGCCAGCCCAAAGCCCCTTGCTGAACCATTTAGAAATACTTATGGGATCTGCTACCACCAGACGCAAGGAAAAGTCTCTAACCTGAGGCTCTACAGTAGCCAAAGGCCTCCCGGGTCAAGAATCCAGGAAAACACGTGCCCAGCTTCAACCTCAAGCAGGCTTAGGGAAGTGGTGTACAGGACAGCCAGCAATGAGGAGGCGTTTTCTCCTTTTTTTTTTTTTTTTTTTTAATTAAGCCTTACTTGATAACTAGAAGGAGAAGCTGTGGCTTCAGGCTGACAGGCCACTGAGCCACAGGCCAGGGAACCACTCAAGACAGCTTCTTGCAGAGATCACTGTGAGTGCCAGTGTCTCCTCCATTCTGGGGACACTCCTGCTCACGGCTGTGTCCCCAGGTCTGCCTGGCTTCTTGCTGGTGAGGCCTAGTGACAAGCCCAGGTTGTTCCACCTCCACTTGCAGGCCAGGAAGCAGGGCAGAAGACACAGGGGGAGTGTGTCACAGAGAGGTCCCCATCAGGTTCACGGGACGGCCGCTGTACCTCTTGGAGATGTCAGCTTCAATCTGAGAGACGGAGAGGAGAGTGGGCAGGGAGCAGACAGGCAGGCGCAGGCCTTGGTCTGTGGAAGCTGACCGTCCCTCCACCCCAGCCCCTCACCCTTCCCCAAGAGCAGGCTCCCAGCATGCCTCACCAGCTTCTGCAGTTCTCGGGTCTTCTCCAGCAGCAGGTCCAGCTTGGGTTCCAGAGCGGCCTGCTCCTGAAGTGCCTCCTGCTGCTTCTCCACCATCAGTTCTTTCTTCAAAGCCAACAGCTGTGACTGCTTCAGCTTTTGCTGGAGGAACTCCGTCACTCGGTCCACATACCTGCGCAGGGCATCCCGTGAGGCTGTCTGCATTTAACTGCTGGACTGGGTGAGGCTCAGGAAACCAACTTCCTAGTTGGCCTCTCCTCCCACTCCCCTCACGTCCCTCGGTCCTTTTTCTGGCAAGGAATATAAACCACTCCAGACTCCTGCCCACTTGGGAAGCAGATTCTGTCTACGGCCATGAGTCAACTGACCCTGCCCCCCAAAAAAGCCCTAATCCCAGGGGAAAGCCATGTGCATAGGAAGGTGGAGTCGTGGAAGAGAAAGCAGAGGAGAGCCTGTTCAAGATGGAGACACGCAGTCAGGAAGGCCAACCTCGGTGAGGCCAGAATCATAAAAAGGTGCTGCATTCGGAGACTGGTGAGCCGGCCAGTCAGATGCTGCAGTGTGGACACCAGGCTGAGCATCTTCTCTTTGGTCTGGCCCTGAAGGATAGCAGGAGCCAGCTGGAACTGGCTCACGGACAGGATGTCGGCCTCCTCACTCATCTCTACCGCTCTTTGGGACAAGAAGATCTCAAGCTGAGGAGGGAAAGGGAGTTGGTTCAAACCAAGACAAGAACTCCGAGGCTGAGCCCTCCACAAAGACCTAGATTCTGGAGGAGACAGGCTGTCTCCCTCTCCCCACTGCTGGAGAGGCCGTACCTACAGCGTGGATGCCATAGTGTGGGAGCAGGCGGCAGCTCCCGCAGTGGCTCTAGCCCCCATGCTGCCCCTTCGTCTGCTTAGCCTTAGCTCTCCATCCTTCTTCCCCCATCTACGGTCACACGACCGAAATTCCCAGCTACTCATTTTCTCAAAATGGGCAGGAGAGTGGCAGTGGGGATCACGCCTGGGAAACCCTGGCTTAGGAGAAGTCTAGAAAGGAGATGAGCGACAGCCGTATCTCCAGGATGTAGTATTTATGAGTCAGTTAATCTTGGATGGGTTTGATGAGCTGACACCAAGCCCGACGACCTGGGCTTGATCCTCAAAACCCACAGAGGTGAAGGTGAGAAGCCACCAAAATGACATGCATGGTTGTCCCCTGGTCTCTACCTGTGTGCCGGGTACACATCTGGATGCGTGCACACCCAAGAAATAAGTACAAATTTTAAAGAAGGAAAAAAAAAAATCAATCCTACTGTGTTATGAAAACTGGGTGTCCCCTCCCTCCCTTAGGCTAGAGGGTGTCTCTTCAAGGAGAAAGGGGAAGAAACCAGACAGGCACGGAATTTCCCGGAGGCTTGCTGGATAGCTACGGATAACCTTAAGGTTCTGATCCTCCAGTCTCTATCTCCTGAGTGCTGGGCTGCAGGAGTAATGACTCCACCCCGTTTGCGTGGCACTGGGAATTGAACCCCGAGCTTCCTGGATACTAGGTAGGCAGACACTCTATCAACTGAGCTACACCCCGGCCTTCTTGCTTTCTGAAGATCTGATGTAGGGCGCACTCCTCCTGCTTATCTGCTCTTTCTGCCGGTGTGTAAGCTCCGCAGAGGAGACCTCTGAATGTCTTCACTGCTCCATCTCCACTGTCCGGGTGGAGCCGGGTATACGGTAACCATGAGAACGAACCTAACTTGTCAGGCTCTGCTCCAGGGTGCTGACATTGTCAGTGCCTCCCCACAGCAGCAGGAAAGGCTTAGAAGTGCCGTCACCTGTGTCAGAAGTTGTCACCCAACCCCCCCCAGAAGGCACTACCTCCATGAGCTCATCAATGAACTGATTCCGGGTCTCGGGGTATTCAAGAAGAGTCAGGGCATCAGAGCCCCTAGCAACACCCTCTGGAGCTGCCAGAAAGAAAGGAAGAGACACGGGCATGGAGCTGAGTTCTAGGGAAGGAAGAAGCCCAGGGATTACTAGGGACAGACTCTCTTCACTCAAGCCACCTCTTGGCCCAACCCCAGGGGGAAGGTCGCACTTTCCCACGTGTCTCAGTCCCACTCGGGCCTGGCCTGCAAATTCCCAGGCAAAGCGGGAGGCAGCTGGTGGCAAGAGGAGGAAAAAGTGTCATCCTGCACTGCCCTCTAGTGACACAAGTGGCTGCAACAGCCTCTCTGCAGACTGGGAGGGGGTGGGTCATGTCAGACCTAGAGCCCAACCATCCAACAGGCTACCAAAATGTCTTGGCCCACAATCAGTCTCTAAAACAGAGAGTTGGTGGGTGGGCATTGGGGCGCAGGCCTTTAATTCCAGCACTGGGGAGGCAGAGGCAGACGAATCTCTCTGAGTCTAAGACAAGCCTGGCCTACATAGGCAGTTCCAGGCCAGCCGGAGCTACACAGTGATTCTCCTGTCTCAAAAAACCTTAAACAAAACAACAAAAGGGGGAGCTGAGTTTCCGGACTGTATTTAGCCACCTCTTCTCTATGTCCCTCCATTTACACCCTCGTTAAGATTGCTTTTTACTTTTTTGAGACAGGGCCTCACATAGCCCAGGCCGTCCTAACTCACTGTAGCGAAGCATGACCTTGAACTCCTGCTTCTCCACAGTCCAGCGCTGCAGGGCGCTTACCCTCGGTCCCTGTCTCCAGCACGGTGATCCCCGTAGCAGCAGTGTTGTCGCCCCAGTCTATCCTGTCACCCCCAGCATCCTGGATGGACAGCAGATGCTCGGCAATGTTGTGAATGTTTCCCAGGGAGCCAGGACAGACCAAAGCCCCTGAAAAATCCAACAACCGAACTCTCCGGCCGGGTGAGGTGTACAGCTCCGACGCAGTGGCAAGCGTGGTGGTAGTGGGGGCTTTGGTAGTGCCACCCGCCCTCCTGACTAGTGAGGTACTTGGCTCCCCACACCCCAAGCCCCAGCAGAAAAGAGGTGCACACTGGCGCCTCACTTTTGTAACCAGCCCCCTCAGGAGGCGTCTGGCCTCGCAATGTGAAGTGCCCCAGATACAGATGCTTTTCTATGGCTGAAGCAGGACCACCCAGAGAGACAGATCTGACCTTGCAGTCTGATTCCAGGGAGATACCCCAGTCTATTCCAGGGCTCTCGGCAGAGACGCCAGAGTCAGAAACGGCCTCCACCCCAAAGTCACCCCAGTCGATCTAAGAAGCAAAAACGATGTTAGCGCAGACCAGGTGGGTGAACAAAGGCAAAAGGAGTTTGTCTTTCTATAGGTCTCAGCGTTGTGTGGAAAGTCACAGTCAACCACATGACTTCCAAGCTCCCACGAAAGGGCTGTTTCACTGAAAGACACCCCCCCCCCCCCGCCCCAGGTCAATGTGAGCCAGGGGGCTGAGGCTTCTAGCATCTATCCCAAGAAACCAGGGAGGGAAAGGGCTTTCCGGTCCTCCTACCCACGCCTCATTCCCAGGGCCTTCCTCATTCCTTGCTATGGGAATTCATGTCAGGGCTTGGACCCTGTGTGCGTGGGAAGCAGTTCCCCCTTGGGTCCTCCCGGGGGCCTGTCTTACCTCATCTTCCTGCACCTGCTCAGGAGGTTCCTCCAGCTGTGGCCGCTCCACCACAGAGGGCTCCGTCCCCGTCCTCCACTCATACACCGTTGAGTTTCCCCGCTTCTGCACGTACCGCAGCATGGGCAACACCTGCTCTGCGGGGCTGCAACACAGCACAGTGACTGCCTCTGCCTCCCATGACTGCCTGGGAAACGAGCACCGGCCCTGTCCTGCACCACATGGTCCCAGGGGGCAGGGAAAGCACCCTTCGCTCAGGGGTGGTGGAGATGCTCCTCACCTGTCACATACAAACTCCACACAAGCCTGGTACAGGTCGATGGCTTCCCCCAGGGCCCGGGCTCCCGTCCCTATCTCAGCCAGCTGACTTGGCAGGTCCTTCACCAGGGCCAGGAGCTCTCTTCTGACATTGTCACCCTAGAGTTGAGGGGAGGGAAAGGTTAGGTCACGCGTGGTGGGAGGTGGACACCATCAGATCAAAGGCGAGACTGCAGAGAGGTGAGACGCTGACCCAGGATGGGCAGAGTCCAGTTGAGAGGGAAGCCCGGAAGCCACGGAGGACCACAGCCAGGCCCGGACTCCCGCCCGCTCACCGTGATGCCGTACTGCTTGCACGAGTGGTAGAACTGCTCCCGCATCTCAGCGGCCCCCGCCTGGCCCTCTTCCTCCTTGCGGCTGTATTCCTGTTGCAGCTGCTGGCACTTGGCAATCTGCTTCTTCAGCGAGGGGATCTCGTAGTTGACATTCCGAACCAGAAGGCTGGAGAGTTCCACTGAGGAGGGCCCGGGAAATTTACTGTAGGACGGACAGCCTTGCCCTGAGGTGCACAGATACCCTAGCATGGCGAAGGAGGTGGGGTGTGGGGGACTGGCTGCTCAGCCTCTCCCTTCCTAGCTGTGGGACCTGGGACAAGTTACTTTACCCGACTGCTTCAATCCTTAGCTGCCAGACGGATCCACGGCTTCACTGTGTGGCTCATATAAAACACAGAAGCCCTTGCACTGAAGTGCTTGGTATATACTGGTTATTACAACTATTTACTACCCAGATGCACACCCGAACTACAACCAGGCCATTAATTGCTCTCTCAGGCTTCCAATATGGCCTCCAGGATGACCCATACCTCTTCTGCCTCCCGAGGAACAGGAATGCTGAGAGGATGGGGGCAGGACCTCCGCAAGAGTCAGACAGGGCAGAGACCTGTCTGCTCAGTTGGGCACACACATGTTCACTGCCTGCCTGCCTCTCCTCCTCCCCCAGCACTTGCAGAACTGTTTCTCACACCTACAGTCGGGAAACATCTGGACTGCACTCCATTTCCTTCCCTGCTCCCTGTAAGCTTGGTGCTTCAGAACCCCAGGAGCAGGCGACCCCATGGATGCTGAGGGCCACTTTAGGGTCACTTTACCCAAGTAGGTGTTGTCCTTCTCGTACAGGCCTATGATCTCCTGCCAGTCCTGAGAAGAGCAGAGAGAGGAAGTCAGCCAGAGGAGCAGCAGCAGCTCCCTTACAGCCGGTTCCTGCAGAGGAGGCTGCCCCAGGCTTCCTAGCACAGCACACTCTACCTCCTCGCCTTCCTCCAGCTTTGATGCTGGCTGGACCACCCACATGATTCTCAGGCGGTGATACCTAACAGTGATCCCCAAAGGTCAAAGCACATAAGCCCAGGGGACAAAGAATGCTCAGAAAATGCACTACGCAGGCCGCTTTGACCCGCTCATCAGTGAGACTAGAGAGGCAAGGGCTGGGTGTCCCCAAGTGCACAATACTGGTTCTTGACCACACTTGCCTTCATCCGCTGTGAAGAGTAGCGGCCAAAGATATTTTTGGTGGAGGCCTCGGTCCCCTTAAGAATGTCCACTATTCTTAGGCAGTGGAAGTAATGAATGTCTAAAAGGCAAGAATGGAGACTTTTAGAATTTCACCGTCCTTCCTGTCCTCTGGCTACTGCAGGAGGCTGACCCCTGTGCTTTGCTGCCAGTTACTTTGGCGTGGGAGAAACCAGCATCTACAACCCAGAAAAACACTCTCTGGCTCTGCGGTCAGCCCTGCTGGCTCAACAAGGGAATGGCTCCAGGAAGGAAGAGGCTCTGAGTGACGTGGCTCCGAATCACTCACAGGATCCAGAGAGCAGCTGGGCAATCTCCTGGCTCTCTGGCATGTCCTGGATGGCAGCGTTGATCTTCTCCCGGATGGTCAGTACCAGGCTTTGCCATTTCAGGCTGCAGTGTCTTCTGTCCACCAGCCAATCTGTGTGAGAAGCAGCCAGTCACTGCGGTCTGCCAGACCGCCAACTCCCCATCAGGAACTCACTAGTGTCACAAGCTGGATATTGAACAAAAGTCTTTGTATCGGCTGAGGTATCGGAGGGAGGAACGGGAAGATGAAAAGACAGACTCAGAGAGATGCTTGGGCTAAACAGACTCCGGCGCCCTGACTTTATCCCCAGTGTGAGTTTTACAGAGCAACCGCCTTAACACAGGGATAAAGAAAAACTTTTAATTGGTCCTGACATGAAAGTGCCACTTTTGACCATTCTAAATTCTCCGTAATATTTTGCTTCTAACGGGTAATTATATCTTTCTTGTTGACAGAGGGTGCTGCTCAACTTCCATTTCCTCGGGGCTGGGATTAACCACAACAATGGAAAACACAAGGTGGTTATGCAAAGTACCGGATGAAGAACAACGGCAAAGCCCCTAAACCTAACACCTACAGCGTCCTAAGGACTGGATAATGCTAGTTGCTGGTCTCATGTTTTTTTGATTTTTTTTTTTTTTTTTTGAGACAGGGTTTCTCTGTGTAGCTGTCCTGGAACTCAGTCTGTAGACCAGGCTGGCCTCAAACTCACAGAAAGTAATTTCATTTTAATAAAAATGAGTATAAAATGGCAGTTGGGGTGGAATAAATGCTCAGTGAATGGTTCTTCTCATGACTTGAGGACAAGCTCACACCCCACGGTAGATTCATAGAGTTTCCACACACTATGAATGCATGGTGCCTCGTGCCTGTAATCCTGGAGATTGGGAGGCTAAGGCAGAGGATTCACCAGTACCCATCAAAGGACTAAATGCTCCCTCTCATCGTGGTAAAATTAAAAAGATGGATTTGTTGACAAATCTGTCAACTGGTCAATCACCTGACGCCACAACAGTATCTGAGATTCTGTCTCTGCTGTGTTCCTCTTAAAATTGTCAGAAAGAGGCCAGGATGTGGCAGCACAGGCCTTTAATCCCAGCTCTCAGGGAGGCAGAGGCAGGCAGATCTCTGTAAGTTCGAGGCTAGCCTGGTCTACAAAGTGAATCCAGGACAGAAAAACCCTGTCTTGAAAAACAACAACAACAAAAATGTCAGAAAGAAAAATTGTGGATGTCAGAATTCCTACAAAAGGGCTGAGGGAGTCAAACACTCTCGTAAGGACATGATTAACAATGGACTGGTGAATCCAGTATCTATTTCAAGTGCCAGGAACTGTGCACATGTGCACAGAAGTGATAGAATGAGGGACATAAACCAGATACAGAGATGGCCTGGCCTTTCACTAAAAGTTCTTCTTGTCTTTCTGTCTTTTTCTTTTGAGATAGGGTCTCCATGGAGTCCTGGCTGTCCTGAAGCTTGCTACGTAGACCAGCACGGCTTCTGCCATGACTAAAGGCTTTTTTTTTTTTTTTTAATGCCTGAGTGTTCCTGGTTACCCTAGTACTTGCTATGTAAACCAGGCTGTCTGAGAACTGCCAGCAATCCTCCAGCCTCGGCTTCTCAAGCGACATGGTTACCAGCACGAGCCACTGTGCCTCTGTGCCACTGTGACTTTCGGAGACCTTCTCCGAAAAGTCAAAGGGAGAGAGAAACTTTCTCGAGCGGGAGGGGTTTTCCCGCCTCCCCCCCCCCCCCAAATAACGCAAAAAGCAGGAAGACAGCGCTTAACAGACTTAGGTTCCAAATGGACGTAACTGACCATCTCTACCGCTAGCCCACTCTGTGCCTGAGTAAGAGCTGATAATACGTTATAAATGTTAAACGTAGAAAACGGAGCCAGTACAGACGGTGGGACCAGAGCGAGGAGGGCACCACGGCCCGGATTCTCCCAGCTCCGGCTGCTGGTGACGGGGGGCCAACTAGCAGGCCTCCCCCGTCGGGCGACCGCGCGGGGGCGCCCTCTCCTACCGAGCAGCTTGCTGGTCTGGATGTCGATGGGCACGTGCTGATGGTCCTGGTGGGAAACACACAACCGGGAAGGGAGGAGGTAGTGAACGCGGGAAGGCGACGTGCCTCGCGCGCGCTCGTCTCGCGCACCCAACCGCCACCCCGCGGGGCCAGAGCGTCCGGCTGAGGTCGGGAGGGGGGTGGAGCAGGCGGGACAGGGACTCCCAGAAAAGAGGCAGTTTCTCCAGCTCGGGTCCTCACACCTGCATCCTTTCTCCACTTCCGCTTCCGGCCGGAGACCCCGGCCCAGCCCAGCACCAATCCTGAGTCCCTGTGCGTGAGCCTCAGTTGAGCTACAGACCGGCCTCCTTCCGCCACGTCGTCGCCTTCGGCGGAGCCAATCCGAGGACACGCTCCGCCCCCTGCCGAAAGCCCCTCCCACCAACGCGTTCTGAATGGCTGAGTACCTGAGGGGCGGGAGAACAGCGAACAGCCAATGGGAGAGAGAGGCGGGCTCGGGCCCGGGAAGCTCCTGGAAGGGCTGTGGCGCTTGCGCGGTGCAGTAGGGGGCGCCCAAGAGCCGATGTAGGCGGCCTTCTCCCAGGCCCGGCGCGGAGCCCCCTGCCGGAGAACAAACCAGTCCGCGGACAGGGTCCTAGCGCCGTCTCGATGGAGGCTTCAGGAGTAGTTCAAAGTCCTTTCTTCCCGCTTTTTCTCCCTTGAGGCTCTTGTCACGTTTTGTCCTCCCGTTTCTGATAAATACGGGCTTTGAGCATCGGATTCTCGTTGGGCGATTAGGACAGGGACTGGAGAGGAGGAAACACTTGCATTGGCGCGTTAGAGGAAAAGCTGCAAAGGGAAGGCTGATGTGTGGAAAGGGTGTTCCCGGTGGAAATAAACTTTAGAGGCCACAGACTGCAAGAGAAGTTCAGGAAAGACAGGCAGGAGAGACTGGCGGCGTTCGCCAGAGACATGCAACGGTCCCTTGTTTAAAAATTTCGACGAATTTCCAGAGGACACCACACAGGTTTGTTTCCCGCCTGCGGCTGATCTCGGACCCACCTCTACGCAGTAAAAGGTTTAGGGGCAGGGAATGACTCGAGAGCAGGCTGTAAAAATGTAAGGCTCCTATCAAGAGTGTTTCATTAAGGAACTTGGACTTCAGCCCTGCAGACAGAGAGGAACCACTGAAGGGTTTGGTACAAGGAAGGACACGAACATATTGGCTGTAAGGATGGGTTAATGGGAGATAAGAATGGAGACAGGGCCAGGCGCCTTGGCGCAGGCCTGTCATCCCAGCAGTAGGGAAGGCAGAGGCAGAACTCTGTGAGTTCGAGGCCAGCCTGGTCTAGTCCCTGGAAAGGCAGGGCTACCAGAAACCCTGTCAAAAAAAAAAAAAAAAAAAAAGCACACACGAAAGATGGCACTTAAGTGTTGAGACAGTGATGCAGGGTGCAGAGCCTGTGTTTGAGAGGCTTTGAACTTGTGGAGTTGGCAATGCTGGGAAACCATCAAGTGGAAAGTGTGCAGACGGTCATCAGACTGGAAAGAAAGACAGTTTGGAGAATCATAAGCTGAGTCGTCGTTGTCGTTGTTGAGTGGCAGATTCATTCCAAGGGAGGGCTTCAGATTTGGACAAAAAGTGGGTAAGTCAGAGTCCCAGGGACCACACGCATCTGGTTATGGCATTTCTAAACACTGTCTTCCTTCTTCACTCTCCCACCCCCATGCAACCCAACACCAGGGCCTAGTAGAGTTTGGACTGAAGTGCCTGGTGTGCTACAGTAGTGGGAAGACCTAGATTCTGGCCCTGTGAGGGTTTGGGCAGTTTCCACACTTCTGCGATGGCCACAGTTCTCTCGACTTAGAGATAGTATCTCGGCGTATTTCTGTTTAGAGGCTTAAATAAATAAACACACTAGCAGTGCAGAGCCTGCCTCCGGGGCTGGATTATATATATTACATATTATTACATATTACGTGCTATATATATTACACACAGGCAAAACATTGATACACAATAAAAATAACGAAAACAGTTTTTAAAGGTTCAGAACTTTTTACAGTTGACGCCATGTTATAGATGTGCGATCTCATACTTGGTGAACTCTGCATATAGAAAACAGTACATATGATCGTTATTACTATAGAATACGTCGACAGGCATCCGTGGAAACAGTCCAGGGAAGCACTATGGAACTCTTCTGGGCTCTCACGGGAGCCTGGCTCCCATCTCAGAGTCCTGACTCAGGTGAGAAGAATTGCCCAGACTCCCCTGTGATTAAGCAAACCCTTGCCGGGTTCCAATCGTGTACCGCCAGTTCCTGGGAACATCCCAAGAAGCCTGGCACCGCCACGCCCTCCAGGTGTCTCTTTCCTCCTTGAACCAACAGGCAGAGCACAGCAGGGCAAGGCCAGCGTGGTAGACGCAGCCCCCGTGAGTCAGTGACACTCAGACCACAAGCCCTTTACCCATACCCGCCGCTTCCAGGCTGATGCATCTGGAACTCGAGGGTGTTCGATAAGAGTTCTGCCCAACTACTGATCCTGGGAAAACTAGCCCAGAGAACAGAAGCAGGCGGTGGTGCGGGGGTGGCGTTCTGCACCTTGCCAAGGCCATGAGGTACTGGAGGCCTGTGGGCACCAAGTCATCAACTCTGTCAGCTTCGGGGGGCGCTTGGGTTGTGGAATCAAAGGAGAGACCACAGGAGGTTTCTGATCGTGAATCCTTGCCAACTTAGAGGAGGGGATGATGAAAAAGGACAGTGCTAGGGTCGGGCAGGCTTTGCAACAGGAACACACAGAGCCCCGGAGTACCGCTGTCACGCACGCAGGCTGCCCTGTTCTCCGTTATTGCTTGCTTGTTTTTTAAGTGATCACCAACCGCCAGCATAGATCTGATGTTTTACAAGCTGTATCTAATGTGAGTCTTATAACTCACAGCGTGCGTGGATTCTATTAGTAGCCAGGCTAAGGGCGAGGGAGCCGAAGCTTAGCTTGGTTCGTTGTCCAACGTCAACACAACTGCTGCTCGCTTTCTCCCGAGTCTCTGTGTCAGACTCAGCGCTCCCACTCCTGAGGTCCCTTCTCCCTTACAAAGTTCTCTCTTACCATACCCGGCTTCGGACCAGTGCCTGCTGGCTTATCTTGAAAAATCTGTAAAATGAGGCCTTAACTTTGACATCCAAATGACCTTTACATGTATCCTATGTGCATTACTTTATTGCTTTATGGTCTGACACTTGTGTGTGTGTGTGCAGGAAAGAGAGAGAGGGGGAGAGAGGAAGAGAGAAGAGAAAGAAAGGGGGAAGAGGGAGGAAGAGAGAGGGAGAGAGAGAGGAAGAGGGAGGAGAGAGAGGGACACACAGAGGGAGAATCTTCTCGGAAGCTCAGCAGCCCCATCTGGATGCCTCGCCGTTTGGGGTGTCTCCCCGGTTGCCGTTGTCCTCCGCTGACCCGTGAGTGCCTGTGGGGAGGTTTACAGACTTGTTCATCTCTCTAAGCAGCACTCGGCCGGATACCTGCCAGGCAGTGATAGTGGCTCGCACAAGCAGGAAGGATGAGCAAAAGTGTGTTCTTTACAGGGCGATTTTGATGATGGTGACGGCTGGCATCCATGTTCTAGGGGAAAAGGCCTCAAGGCCTCCAGCTCCCCTTTTCCTCCCTTTGCAGGTCAGAATATGGAGCCAACTCCCTCTTGAGCCACTTGGGAGTCAGGAAGTGGGGATCTGGGAAGAAAGGCTCCCCAGGGTAAGCATAGGTCCATGAAGGCCACACAGAGTCAGTCAGCTGAGCTGTCCACAGAGCTGCTGACTGTGCCCTTGCCTTGCTGGCCACGCCCTCCACCCATTCACTTTTATTCCTGGGTGTCATCATGAACTTGGCCCTGGGTATCATCTCTCAAATAAACACCACTGTGTTTATTTCTGCACCTTTGTTGCAACAGGGGAGTGAACCTAATCTGCCAAGAGAAAGAAAAGTCAGTCCATCGCTAAGCCTCTCTGTATGAGCCTCCATTCCCATGCAGGCCGAGGCCAGGGCTGGGGCCTGTTAACACAAAGACACCGTTCTGGTGCTGGAAGAAATACCGTGCGCCGTGTGACGGGACGGCCGCACTCTGCATTGAAGGAGACCTCCCCTCCCCGGAGCCTGGGACTGTGTTCATTTATCAAAGGTGCTGCCCGGTAGGGGAGGCGCACACCTTTGATCCCAGCACTCAGGGAGGCAGGGGCAGGTGGGTCTCTGTGAGTTCGAGGCCAGCCAGGGCTACACAGAGAACCCTGTCTCAAAACAAAACAAAAACAAGAGAAAGGATCCCTTCCATAAACAGGAAGCCCAAATGGCCAATAAATACCTAAGTGATGTCCAGCCTTGCGAGAAAGTAGGTGTGTAATTTTTTTAGAGGTGCTGTGGCCAGTTATCACAAACCTGAGCTCTGAAATCATGGCGTCAGCACAGCTGGTCCCCGGGTGACAATCTGTCTTGTGCCTTCCCTGTCTCTGGCAGTGACCAGCCGGCCTTGCAGGAATGTCACTTCAGAGTCCCTTCCTTAGCATGTGCGGTAAACGTTCTGTGTGCCTCTTTGTCTCATCTTCCCACAAGGACCCCAGGTCTTGGGTTTAGAACCTACTTCATGTGGCATGACCACATCTTAACTAAATACATCTGTTTTCAAACAGTCGTATTCTGGGGTTTGAAGTGGTTAAGAATTTTTTTTTTTTTTTGGTTTTTCAAGACAGAGTTTCTCTGTGCTGTCCTGGAACTCACTGCTTTGTAGACCAGGCTGGCCTCGAACTCAGAGAGATCCAACTGCCTCTGCCTCCCCAGGGCTGGAATCAAGGGTGTGCACCACCATGCCCAGCCGTGATCAAGAACTTTAGGGACAGTCTTTTATAAAGACACAAAGATGTTATTCCTTCCCCTATACTGGAAAGCAGGCATGTTGGTGACACTGGATGTATTCTTCAGAAGGAAGCAGGTTGCGTTGTTCAGTGGGGCATTTTTCGGAGGGTTTCCTGGGGTCATTTTTCTGTAAGGGGAAGCAGACAGGAACAGGGAGGACTAGAGGGAAATGTTTTTCTTTCTTCTTTTTTGCCTTTTGAAACATGGTCTCAGATACTCCACACGGTCTGGTCTCCAACCTTACCTGTATGGTTTTTTGTTTTGTTTTGGTTGCTTGTTTGTTTGTTTGTTTGTTTTTTGAGACTCAGTTTCTCTGTGTAGCCCTGACTGTCTTAGAACTCAATCTGTAGACCAGACTAGCTTCGAACTCAGAGATCTGCCTGCCTCTGCCTCCTGAGTGCTGGGATTAAAGCTGTGCACCACTTCCTCCCGGCTACATCCAGTGTTCTTAATCTCTGAGCCATCTCTCCAGCCTCTGAGCATGATTTTTTT